CGAGCCTCGTCCGTGCCGCCCTCAGCTGCCGCACCTTCCTCAGCGCCGTCCGCTCGTCCCCCGCCTTCCGCCGCAGCTTCCGGGAGGCCCACCTGCCCCCTCTCCTCGGCCTCTTCTTCGACCCCGAAGTCCCCTCCATCCCCGCCTTCGCTCCCCTCCGCCGCCGCGCCGACCCTGACCTCGCGGCCGCCGTCCGCGGCGCCGATTTCTTCCTTACCCGCCTCCCCGCCGACGACGACACCTTCCCGGGGTGGGCCATAGAAGGCTGCTGCGACGGCAAAGTCCTCCTCCAGAACTTCAGCCTGGAGCAACTCGCCGTCTACAACCCCCTCACGCGGGCTCTGGATCTCATCCCCGTGCCGCCCGACAAGATCTTCGACGACGCCCGCGGCGACGCCAAGTACCTTGGATGCTACATCCTCTCCTCCGAAGAGGGCAGCGAGCCGCTGCGCCTTGTCTACACCTGCCATGACAAGTCGCGGGCGCGTGCCGCCGTCTTCTCGTCGGAGAGCAGGGAGTGGCAGATCTTCCCGTGGTCGGAGGCTGTGACGCCACTGCCTGAAGACGAACACTGGCTTAAAGTTGGCACGATGGTGAATGGGTTCGTCTACTGGATACACACAAATGAAGCCTACATCCTTGTGCTGAACACATCGACACTACATTTCTCCCAGATGGATTTGCCGCCGACATTGGTGGCGCGAGACCTCATATTCAGGGTCGGCGAGAGCAAGGATGGGAAGCCTTGCATTGTGTGCCCAATTGATTTTGAGCTTTTTGTTTGGGTCCGGGGAGCCGAGGATGACGGCATCGAGAGATGGATATTCGACAAGAGGTTTCCGTTGGAGACGATTGTCGAGGTCACCGAGAGTACACTTGTGGAACATGGTGACCTGAAGGTTGTGGCCACTATTGGTGGATTTGTGTACTTCTCTACCATGGAAACGTTCCTTGATGGGCATAATCCTAGTTGGTTCATGTCTCTATGCATGGAGACGGAGGAGCTGGGCACCCTCTTTCAGAGGAGATTTGACGGCCATGCCCATCCCTACATCATGGCATGGCCTCCTTCTTTGATAGACAACCAGGTGCACCCTCAACTTGAAGGTGCTTGATGGAATGTGGACAAGGTATCATAACATTTCCTTCGTTTGGCCACTAGATGGTGTTGTCCAGTAGTGTTATCTTTAAGATGACAATGAAATAGGCATTCTATTTGAGAAACGAGTCAATCGGATTATGTATATATGTAGCATTTGCCAAATGCTTGCTTGTGTTTTTATGTGGCTGCATTTCTGAACTGGTTCGCATATTGCATTCTGCCTCCTTTGAGACAGAGATTCCACTTTCTAATTGGCATGTTTGTCATTTTGGTTTGATAATTCTTTTGTGTTGCCAGTTGCACTGAATTTGACACTTTAATATGTAAATGCTTGTAAAAGGTTCTGCTTGTTATTTTTGTTTTCTCCTAATCACTCCCTTGCTTTGTTTTCCCTCCCATACCTTAATATTTGAAATGAAAATATGAAATACCCATCCATCTACTTGAATACAGTATTCCAATGTGGGACTCTTCCCATGAAATATTTTACATTTGGAGCTCCTATCGATGAGATTAAAATAAGAAATTCGGCTTGGAAACCCGCTAAGAATAAGGCAGAAATTAGGTTAGCTGGATAGCAAGGGATGATCTTGACTACTGGTGATTGACCTGTTGTGGTTAGAGAGTTTTGCTTCGGTACACCCCCCCTTAAAAGTTTGCATAAATCTTAAAATTACTTAAAAGGGCTATCATCATATTAATTTGCAGATCAAACATATTGAATAGATTGATTTGGATACGAAAGACTATTTTATCCTTTTTCATTGAAAGGGTACTTTCTAATCTCCACCTTTAATCTGCACCGAAATCCGTAAACTTTTCTGGGGGTGTGTACCGAAGCAAAGTTCGTGGTTAAATCATTCCTTCGCAACATGCCTCTTTACATGCAGGGGTTAGAAAGGGAATTGATTTTTTCAGAGCATAATTTGCTACGTTATGAATACCAACATATTAGGAGGTAACATTTTAGTAGGCTGCTATACATTTGTAGACCCAACAACAGAGGATCTCCCTGTAAATATTTGTAGACTCAACAACAGAGGACCGCTTTGTAAAGTTAGGGGTTTCCGATCTTCAAACAATGAATAAGGTCTGACTAGCAATGTGGCTCTGTAAGCTTAGGACAGAGGATTGCTCTGGCAGAAAGTTTTATACTAGAGAAATATGTCAAAACCAGTACATTACTAGTATTAAACACAGAAATGGAGAGACTCAGTTTTGGTCAGGTGGCCCTGATATCAAAGATTCAATTCTGTAAGCATTGCAGAAGAATTGTTGGGGATGAAACTAATACCAAATTCTTGAAGGATTGGTGGCTGGATAGAGAACCTCTAATCTCTTCGTCTCTCCTTTCATACGCTATATAATATCTGTCTTAGTTTTGGTATCTCTGTTTCTGAAGTACTAAATGAGGGGTGGGATCCCATGTTACTAAAGTAGGGCATATGGTCAACAGCTGAAACAAAATGGGTCATATGATCATGTCCCTCCTTCTAAGAAGAGGATGGATAGTTGAGATGCATTGTCAAATTTGTGTCGGAATGAAACCATTGATCCTTTATTTCTGCCCTGTTCACTTGTGAGGTTTGTGTGGAATATAATCTGATGTGCTTTTAATCTCTACTATTTTGGCTGCAAAAATTTAGAAACTGGAAATATTAGTAGTTACTGTTGGCATTGCATTGAATTTTTTGAACGATCTGGTGTTTTAGAAGTCAAGCTTGCTTCGGAAGACAATTTCTTATCCTTTCATGATCCTTCATATGGTGAGTCATAGGCTAAACTTCTGATTCTTGATGCAGGCAAAGTTAGAAAACTGAGAAGAGCTGAAGTGCGTGGTAGAATCGTTTAGAGAAGCAGGAAATGAAGTCTTCAGGACAACCAATTATTAGTTTTTTTTTGTAAAAAACGTAATACAATACTTTGGTTTGGTCCATTTAGGTAAGCTTCTGTAATCTTCAAAAAATTGTTGTTCTATATGAGTATGTTTTGTGTTGTGCTGCCTTTGCCTTTTATTTATCTATTTACTACTCCCTTTATTCCTTATATAAAGGTGTATTTGTTTCTTATGTTGCCAAAATTCCACATTATATAATTTCTATTTGCTTTTTTTTTTGCTAAAATTCTGCAATGTAAGGTGTATTTCTTGTAATTTCCTACAATTCCGATTTGGTTACCCTCTTCTTTCTAGCTGGTTGGCCGTCCAAGCGCGGTCTTGAATGATGAACCACGCAGAAACAAAAAGAAAAGCTCTGGTGGTGCCCAATTAGTCCACACCACCGGCGGCTTCATTTGCGATGTGACCAGAGCGCCAAGCTGGCTTGCTCAAGCTCTGAATTCACCGCGATCTGGAATTCTTAATCTAGAGGTCAAGATGCTACAGTATTACCTGCCCAACAAACGTTGTAGGTGGTACTTTGAGCAACGAAAAAAGAGCGAAATGCTCAAAGCGGATTCCGATGCCTTTGCGTGAGCCGCGACGATTGCCCCAGGCTATTTCAGTTTGTTTGTGCCTAGATGACAATGATGAATGGGCAGTCCTTGAACATCATTTAGGTAGAAAGTTCGAGGTCGGTGTGTCCAGGTTCTGGATAGCAGACAAGAAATGCTTATAATTTTAAATTTAGTCTCGAGCGCTGTTCTAACTGGACTCTGTGAAAAACCCAGAATGGCTTTGCTTTCTAACAATGCGCAACGGAATCTGGCTGTAGGTTGTTTGTTTAGACTCCTCTTCGCTACTTGCTGTTGGAAGCTTTTGGGTTTATTACACTGAACTGGGCTGCTGTAAGTCTGAATACGCTGCTGATTTCTTTTCTTGAATGAAAAATATCGAGGTAATGATGAATGGGCAGTCCAGATAGGTAGTGCACGTCCACATCTATCTATCCATGTAGTCGTGGAAAAACTGCGTTCTACCACTAATAATTGGATATGACCTCTGTCTCCTCCTCATCCCCCGTATCTGGACTGGATGCAGCGCCAACGCCAATGTAAAGGTAGATCTCACTCACCCTATCGGGAATTCCAAGCGTGCTGGCATCGCAGCCCGTCTCCTCTCCTCTCTCTGTTTGCTGGCTACAGTCATAAGCGGTCAGTGGAGCTATTGCGGCCTAGGCAGCATCTGAAGCAGCGATTCTCCAGGTAATTACAGTTACGTTCTTGTTTCTTCCTTGGGAAAGTGCTTTTCTATCATGGCTTCTCTCTTCAGGTTATTACCAAGACGTTTTTCCTACTGTTACGAATGATACGATGGCCTAGCTAATGTTCAAAGAACCTTCCAGCTAAAAAGCTTGTACTCCATCGTCGCAGTCGGTGTATAGGATTGCTGCAAATTTGCTGCGTGCGACTGCCATCCTGTTATACTCGCGCTGTCAAGCCTTAATTTTGGGTTTAGGGGTCTCTGGCTTTCGGAACCGGTCATGTGTACTCTGACTTCTGAGTGCGGAACAAGAGTGAATGGTACTGCTTCGGAAGAAGATGCCGAGTGTCAGGGGATGCCAACTCATCAACAGGTAGATCCGGATTCGACGAAGTAAATTTGTTGTTTACATGCAGTCCTCAAATTTCATGGTCTTTAATAATTTTCTTGACAAAATTATTCAAGACCATGACTTTTGAGAAATAATAAGAGACATTCTTCTGTGAATGTTAGCCAAAGAACACTATTCACGAAAAGAATGAGTTTTGCCCTTCTTTTTTTTCTCATAACGTGTAGATCAAATCTGAATCAAAAACTGTGACATGAAGCACAAACATTGTGTGGACCTAGTTATTGGGATTTGGGAGCAGTTCTACTGTACACCTCCCAACTCCCAAGCACTGTAGAAAATAACATTTGGGAGTAATCATAAATAACATGATTGCCCATGTTTCAGAGGTACCGTGGTAACAATAGCACATGGACCATGAAACTAATGCTAAATATGGTGTCCTGGAGCGCCCACTACTCGATGCAAGTGCAGAGCCGACTAATGTGCCTTTATCACTTTTGAAAGACATCACAAATGGTTTCTCTCATGATCGGAAAATCGGCAGTGGTGGGTTTGCGGTGCTTTATATGGTATGTTATGTCTCAACTCTCAACTGCCCCATTCTAATCATATAGTTGATCTGCAACTCATATCGATGCTGACCAGTCATCTTGTCACTACAGGGAATACTCGGGAATGTGACGGTCGCCGTGAAAAGGCTGTTCGAAAGGTTTGATATTGAAGAGAAACAGTTCAACGAAGAGGTTATTTGTCTGATGAAGGCAAAACACAAGAATGTAGTGCGATTTCTAGGATATTGTTTTGACAGGCAAGGGATAATGGCAAACTTCGAGGGAAAGCCTGTCATGGCAGATGTTCAAGAAAGGTTGCTTTGCTTCGAGTATCTACCCAGAGGGAGTCTTGATAAATATATCAGTGGTAAGATCATCTGCCGCGTAATTAACAAGAGTTCCCATCTACATCTCCTCTATGTAGCAAAGTATCTTGGATATTGAACCCCTCTTTCTTCTCACCCCATTATAGGAGCATCTTCTGTACTCAAATGGACAGAGCGATATCAGATCATCAAAGAAATATGTGAAGGTTTACAATATCTTCATGTGCAGCGGCGTATTGTCCACTTAGATCTTAAGCCAACAAATATTTTGTTGGATGATAATATGGTTCCAAAAATCGCCGATTTTGGTTTGTCAAGGCGGTTCAGTGAAAAGCAAAGCCAGACCTTTACTGCAAAAGTGAGGGGAACTATGTGAGTTACCTATGGCTCATAGGAGTCATAATATTTTTAGTTTTCTTACTCTGTAGGTAGCATCTGTATGATGTTCCTTTTCTCATTCATCGATCAAACTTGATAAATTTTTATGCAGTGGATATATAGCACCAGAGGTTCTCAATAATGGACAAATTACATTCAAGTCCGATATATACAGTCTTGGCATTATAATCATGGAGATATTGACGGGGCAGAAGGGATATTGTGATGTTGAGAATGTAAGACCAATCTATGTTGATGTTCCAAGACAAAGGCTAGATTTTAAAATAAGCACACAGCACTTCTACTTGGTATTCTTTTATTTCGTTCATAGACATTGCATGATCTTGAGAAATGCACAGAAACATTAAAACTTAAAAGTAAAAAAAAGTAGAATAACGGGGGAGGAGCCCCCCGGTATTTTAATTAAGGAGGGTGTGAGATGCCGAATTTTAATCCGCACCACCGTGCACTTGCCACTGGGCTAGAAGCCCATCCACAAAAACTAAAACAGTATGAAATACGTAGTCATATAAATAAAACATTCTACTTGTTTTGACCATACCTGAAAATGCAAAATTCATAGATAGTTTTAATTTAACTTCTCAGCGATTTTGGTTGTTGGTTTAATGTTTGAATTGATGTCATCGTGGGTTAACACAGTGCACGGGGTTTGTATGTACTACCACCACTGCTGCTCCTGCTATTACTATGTACAACTTCTTTTAAATAGTTTCACATCTCGTAACTCACTATTGCGATTTCGTAGGTTCTCAATATGTGGAGGAATCTGTCACAGAAATCACAGGGGGACATACATTTGGAACAAGTAAGACCATGCATGGAGATAGCGATAGAGTGCACTGATTTTAACCCAGCAAAGAGACCATCTACAGAATGTATACTCGATAGGCTTAATGAAACAGAAAGTAAGGGCAGGTCCATCGAAACTAGTGGGAGCACTTCATCAGCGGTGCAGGTAATTCACCAACTGCATATGATTTAAGCTACCACCAATCTCATTTTTCAGACCTTGCGTACATTTCCATTTGCACTTTTGATAATCCTATCTGGTGGATGAGGTGATGTTTCGTTGGTTATTCAACAGGCAGAAGACGACTCCAGTGAGAAGAATAAATGGACACCCAAGGTTCCAGGAGAGACAAGTGATGAGGTGAGTTCTCCCATAGACCTACCTGCAATACCTTAACTATGGACTTTGCAAACTAGAAACACTAAAGAGAACAAGAGCTCATGAAGCGTGGGTCTCTTTTAGGAGTGCTCATAATTTACCTCATATCTATTTTTGTTTTTTAATAATAGATTTAGCTGAATTTTCAGTTATTGGTAGGATTGTTCAATGGAGGTGGGCACAATTTTGATGAAACGCTATGAAATTGGGAGGCTCTTAGGACAAGGGGACCTGGCGAAGGTATATTATGCTCGGAATCTCACAAGTGGACAAGGTGTTGCAATGAAGAGGGAGGCCCGCATGCCCCCTCTCCTCGGCCTCTTCTTCGACCCCGAAGTCCCCTCCATTCCTGCCTTCGCCCCCATCCGCCGCCGCTCCGACCCTGACCTTGCAGCCGTCGTCCGCGGCGCCGATTTCTTCCTCACCGGCCTCCCCGACGGCGACTACACTTTACCAGGGTGGACCATAGAAGGCTGCTACGACGGCAACGTCCTCCTCCAGAACTGCAGTCTGGAGCAATTCGCCGTCTACAACCCCCTCACACAGGACCTGGATCTCATCCCCGTGCCGCCCGACAAGATCTTCGACGACTCCCGCGGCGACGCCAAGTACGTTGGATGCTATATCCTCTCCTCCGAAGAGAGCAGCGAGCCGCTGTGCCTGGTCTACACCTGCCATGACAAGTCGCGGGCGCGTGCCGCCGTCTTCTCGTCGGAAAGCAGGGAGTGGCAGATCTTCCCGTGGTCGGAGGCTGTGACGCCACTGCCTGAAGACGAACACTGGCTTAAAGTTGGCACGTTGGTGAATGGGTTCGTCTACTGGATACACACAAAAGAAGCCTATATCTTTGTGCTGAACACGACGACACTACATTTCTCCCAAATGGATTTGCCACCAGCCTTGGTGGCGCGAGACCTCATATTCAGGGTTGGCGAGACCAAGGATGGGAAGCCTTGCATTGTGTGTCCAATTGATTTTGAGTTTTTTGTTTGGGTCCGGGGAGCCGAGGATGACGGCATCGAGAGATGGATATTTGACCAGAGGTTTCCGTTGGAGAAGATTGTCGAGGTCACCAAGAGTACACTTGTGGATCATGGTGACCTGAAGGTTGTGGCCACTATTGGTGGATTTGTGTACTTCTCTACCATGGAAACGTTCCTTGATAGTCATAAATCTAGTTGGTTCATGTCTCTATGCATGGAGACAGGGGAGCTGGCCACGCTCTTTCGGAGGAGATTTGACGGCCATCCCCATCCCTACATCATGGCATGGCCTCCTTCTTTGATAGGCAACCAGGTGCACCCTCAACTTGAAGGTGCTTGATGGAATGTGGACAAGGTATCATAACGTTTCCTTCGTTTGGCCACTAGATGGTGTTGTCCAGTAGTGTTATCTTTAAAATGACAATGAAATAGACATTCTATTTGAGAAACGAGCCAATCGGATTATGTATATATGTAGCATTTGCCAAATGCTTCCTTGTGTTTTTATGTGGCTGCATTTCTGAAGTCTCCTTTGAGACAGAGATTCCACTTTCTAATTGGCCCGGTTGTCTTTTTGGTTCGATGCTTCTGTTGTGTTGCTAGTTGCACTGAATTTGATACTGTTCATATGTAAATGCTTGTAAGAGGTTCTGCTTGTTTTTTTTTGTTTTTTTTTCTCCTAAGAACTCCCTTGTTTTGTTTTCCCTCCGTTACCTTATTTTTTGAAAATCTACTTGAATACAGTATTCCAATATGGGACTCTTCCCATGAAATATTTTACATTTGGAACTCTTGTCGATGAGATTAAAATAAGAAATCACTAAGAATAAGGTAGAAATTAGGTTAACTGGTTCACATATTAGGAAATATCGTTTAGTAGGCTGGTATATATTTGTAGACCCAAACAACAGAGGATCTCCTGTAAAGTTAGGGGTTTTTGATCTTCAAACAGTGAATAAGGTCTTACTAGCAATGTGGCTATGTAAACTCAGGACAAAGGAATGCTCTGGAAGAAAGTTTATAAGAGAAATATGTCAAAACCAGTACATTACTGGTGTTAAACACAGTAATGGAGATTCTCAATTTTGGTCAGGTATCCCTGATATCAAAGATTTGTTCTATAAGCATTGCAGAAGAATTGTTGGGGATAGAACTAATACCAGATTCTGGAAGAGTTGGTGGCTGGATAGAGAACCTCTCATCTCTTTGTTTCTTCTCTCATAAGCCATATAATATCTGCCATAGTTTTGCTATCTCTGTTTCTGAAGTGCTAAATGAGGGGTGGGATGCCATGTTTCTGAAGTAGGGAATATGATCAACAGCTGAAACAAAACAGGACATGCGGTCATATCCCTCCTTCTAAGAAGAGGATGGAAGATTGAGATGCACTGTCAAATTTGTGCGGAATGAGACCTGATGTGCTTTTAATCTCTATTTTTGCTGCACAAATTTGGAAACGGGGAAGATTTCTTCTAGTTACTGTTGGCATTGCATGGATTTACTTTTGAACAATCTGGCATCCTTGAAATCAAGCTTGCTTTGAACAGAAGATAATTTCTTATCGTTTCGTGATTCTTGTTATGGTGAGTCATTGGCTAAACTTCTGATTCTTGATGCAGACAAAGTTAGAGAACCCAGAAGAGCTGAAGTTGGGGGCAGAACTGTTTGGTGAAATGGGAAAGGGATTCTTCAGGGTAACTAAAGATGGCGGATCACTCGTCAATTCCAGGGGCAACGTGAGGTTCACCGGAGGTCGTCTTGCAACCAGAATACTTGTGTTTGTTGGCTGTAGTGTTGTTTAGGTAGGCTTCGATAATATCCAGAATTTGCTGTTCTATATTAGTTCGTGTTCTGTGTTGTGCTGCTTTTGCCTTCTTTATTTAGCAGTATATCACACTGAAGTTTACCCCATATTGTACAGCAGTAATGCAATTACCGACATGAGGCAGGAGAAATTAAGTCTACATATTCACCATTGTTACTACCCCCATTCTAGAATACGAGGCAGAAAATGATGGCTTTTCTTATTTACTTGGTTATGAACTCTTGGTGTTATTAGGAATGTATGCAAATGCCGCATCCTTATTACGAACGGGGTTTATCCGGATACTTTGTACTACATCATAGTTACTGAAAATGGTGTGGGTCTTGGAAACTTCAATGACCGTGGCTGTACTTTGGTTTTCTAGTAGTTTAGCTGACAGGGAGAGCTCGCTATCTGATCCCAGTGTGTGAATGCAGATGCAGTTAAAGTTTGTACTTCTTGGCCGGAAACTCTGAATAATCGAGGCTTTTGGGTTTGGGACACCACCAAACGAGCTCCGCTGAGAGAGACGGGGTCCCTCCGTGGTGGTAGGCTCAACGATGTAAGCTCATCTATAAAATATAAACCGCTTGGACGACGAATTATTCACACATCCATTCACTTGGCTGCTCATCTATAGAATATAAACCTCTCAGGTGTGTAAAAGTAGATCTCACCTCTGGGAAAGTCCACGGCTGCCTGGAATCGAAGCAACCCTTCTCTCCTCTCTCTTCGCTGCCTTCGGAAGCGAAGCCATCTTCTCATTCTTCATTCTTCTCACCCCATTATAGGATCATCTTGTGTACTTAAATGGAAAGAGTGCTATCAGATCATCAAAGAAATCTGTGAAGGGTTACATTATCTCCATGTGGAGCGGCGTATTGTCCATTTAGATCTTAAGCCTACAAATATATTGTTGGATTGTAATATGGTCCCGAAAATTGCTGATTTCGGTCTCTCAAGGCGATTCTGTGAAAAGCAAAGCCAAATTCTTACTGCAGAAGTGAAGGGAACTTTGTGAGTTATCTATGGCTCATGTAGTCGTAATCTCCTTTCCCCCCTTGAGTGGATGGGATCTATAGTGTTCCTTCTCTCATTCACTGATCCAACTTAATGCAGGGGATACATGGCACCAGAGTTTGTAAATAATGGACAAATTACATTCAAGTCGGACATATATAGTCTTGGCATTATAATCACAGAGATACTGACGAGGCAGAAGGGATATCGTGATGTTGTAAGACCAATCTTTGTTAACATTCCAAGATAAAAAGGCTATATTTAACATGGCTCCAGAGGAGGAAGAAAACCCTTGGCCTTTTTTATTAATTATAAGAAGGGCATGTGACGGCCTGCCGCTGCGAGCATGGAGGCTCGAATGCAGGTGGTCAGGGGCACATCAGCCTGTCCTTGCCATCCGGGCTATGCCTCGGTCCACTAAAGGCTAGATTTTAAAATAACCATGCAACGCTTTTACTTGGTATTCTTTTAAGTTCCTTCGTAGACAAATACATACAAACATAGAAACTAAAAGGTATTGCTGCTAATCTGGCTACTTGGTGGATCGACTCTCTCCACAACACGACGATGACAACTTCTAAGGAAAGCTTAGAACACAACCATGATGCTAACCTGGTGGATGATCTCGAGAGAGCGGAATGCGCACATGTTTGATAATGGAGCAATCAATGAAGATCAACTAACTAACAAGATCATGCAAGGGCTCCACTATTGGCACCAAGCTAGAATTACGGCTGTAGCCCCTTCTTCATACACGAGCCACCTTGAGCTTGCTAGCTTCTTTTTTCCTTATGAGCCTGTAAATATCCTGCTTGTATTTCCCTTGCTGTGCCAATTTCTCTTAATGAATGAAAATTAGCGCTGGTACATTTCATAAAAAAGGGTATTAAATACAGTCATATAAATATTAATTATAGGAAAACTTTTTACTTGTTTTTGTAATACCTGAGCAAATTTCATAGTTGTGTTTAATTTAACTTTTCGGCTATTTTTGTTGTTCGTTTGATGTTTGAATTTGTGTCATCTGCGGGTTAACACATTTCATGGGGTTTGTATGTACTACTATTACATACTTTAATTTAATAGTTTCCCATCTCATCACGCACTATTGCAATTCCGTAGGTACTTGATATCTGGAGGAATAGGTTGCAGGAATCACAGAGAGACATACATTTGGAACAAGTACGAGTATGCGCTGAGATAGCGATAGAGTGCGCTGATTATAACCCGGCAAAGAGGCCAGTTACACAACATATAATTAATAGGCTTGATGAAACAGAAAGTACGGGCGGGTCCACTGAAACTAGTGGGAGTACTTCATCAGTAGCTCGGGTAAGTTCACCAGCTGCATAGACCTAAATTCTCAAGAATCTTGTGCACATTTTCATTCACTTTTGATGTTCCTGGCTGGTGGATGAGGCGATGTTTCGTTGGTTATTCAACAGGCAGAAAAGGAGTCCAGTGAGCAGCATCAGTGGACACCTAAGGTACCAGGAGAGACAAGTGACGAGGTGAATTCTCCGCTAGACTGCAAGCCAGAAACACTAAAGAGAACCAGAGTATATATATAGGAGAAAAAAAAGAACCATGCATCTCTTTTATAAGAGTGCTTATGTGAGATCAGGAGCTCTTTTGAGTTTACGAATACCTAAGTATAGTATACCTCATATGTATTTTAGTTTTACAATTGATGCAACTAATTTTTAGTTATTGGCAGGACTGTCGAATGGAGGTGGGCACAATTTTGATGAATCGCTATGAAATTGGGAGGCTCTTAGGACAAGGGGACCTGGCAAAGGTATATTATGCTCAGGATCTCACAAGTGGACAAGGTGTTGCAATAAAGATGATTGATAAGGACAAGGTCTCAAGCGTTGAGCTGATGGTGCGGATAAAGAGGGAGATTTTTTTTTTAGAAAAGGAGGATGACCCCCGGCCTCTGCATCTGGGCGATGCATACGGCCACTTTATTAATTATTCTCACAAGACCTTACAAAGTCATACAACAGTAAGACTAAAGCCGCCGTCTAAGCAACAAACTGTCGCTACACCTATCCAGTTGATGAAGGGGCGCAAATATCCTGGGCCTAATACCAAACAGACATCGCAGCCAAGCCTAACATCTAAGACCTGAGACCCCAACCTAGCCACTTGCCGGGTCTGGGGCACACACTGGTCCGGTGTGCTCTCAGAGGCCGCCGCCGCCAACTGCCACCGCTCCATCTTCAGAACTGTACTGATGCATCAACCTTGCTCGGCCCAGCTATCGTCGACGCCACCATGGCGCCCAACGTCACCTCCTCCCTGCGTGCAAACAGCTGTACACGTCGCGGTCGCCACTGATACACCTCAGCGCCATGCTGCCACGTACCACCAGCCGACACAGCTTGAAGCCCTTGGAGGATTTGTCGTGCGTAGCACCTGCCGACCAGGCATGACCAAGCGTAGCACCTGTTGGTCAGGCATGACTTGACATCTCCACCGAAGCTCATCTGTTAAGACATCCAAACCTCCTGAAACTTGTGGAGGTTACGGCTAGCAAGATCAAGCTTTATTTTGTTTTGGAGTATCCTAAAGATGGTGACCTTTACACCAAAAATGTCATTGGAAGGTTAAGTGAGGATGCTGCGAGGAAGTACTTCCATCAGTTGATTGGTGCCGTGGAGTACTGCCATAGCCAAGGTGTTTATCATCGCAACTTGAATCTAGAAAACATACTCCTGGACCAGAATGGCAACCTAAAAATCTCTGATTTTGGTCTAAGTGTCCTACCTGGGTCCAGGGAAGATGGCCTCTTCCATTACCCCTGTGGAACTCCAGCTTATGTTGCTCCCGAAGTGCTTAGCTGGAGAGGCTATGACGGTGCGAAGGTTGACATATGGTCCTGCGGAGTAATTCTATTTGCGCTGGTGGCTGGTTACCTTCCTTTCCAAGGCACAGATCGTACAGATTTGTTTAATAAAATTTCCTTAGGGAAATATGAATGCCCTTCTTGGATTTCTGTTAAGCTGAAAGATATACAGTACTACGTAAGATTCTTGATCTAGATCCAAGCACCAGGGCTTCTGTTTCAAGCATAAAGGCAAGCGCTTGGTACGGAAATCTCATTGAGGTAAAGGCTTACAAAGGTGAAGCCACAACCTCTGAATCGACAGAGTGCAGTATGTTATCGAAGGGAAAGACAAAATGCAGTGACTCAATGGGGAATCGAGCGCCATCAAGCTTCACTGACTCGAATGCAGTTGGCGTCATTTCTCTCTCAATGAAATTTTACCTATCCAATTTGTCTGAGAAAAAGTATGGGCTGTGGGAGAACAAATTTACCGTTGGGCTGCCAGCAGAAACTTTACTTGCCAAGTTAAATGAACTGGCTGAGCATTTGAAGCTCAAAGTTATGAAGAAAGAAAACGGTGTTCGGAAATTGGTAGCACGAGACGAGAGGCCTGATTCTTCGGCAGTCATCTTTGCTGAGGATACCCTCTCGCGAACGCCCCGCTCCTAGGGTTCCCTCGCCGCCGCCGGCGGCTCCCCCGCGCGGGGCCGCCGCCGCGGCCGGAGCCTGCTCCTCTCCCCCTCCCCTACCCCTTCCTTCCCTTCCCCGTACCCCCACGTCGCCTCCCCGAGCGGGGCGACCGGGGGCCCCTTCGCCGCTCCTCCCCAGCGCCCCTTCCCTGCCCCTGCCTCCTCCCGCCGCCGCCAGCGAGCGCCGCCGGGCTTCGGCCGTGTGGTGCTGGCGGCGGCGGGCCTGCCCTTCCCCGCGCGCGGCTCCCTCCGGCTCGGACGGTGGTGGCTTGTGGCGGTGCTCCTCGGCCGGCATCGGTGCGGCCCGTCGGTGGTGATGCCGCGGGCCCGATGGCTCTCGACGCGGCGGTGCGGCCGTTGGCCGTGGGGCGGCGCGGTGGCGCTGTGGCTGGTGGCGCCCGCCCAGCCCAGATCTGGGCCCTTTTGGGCCCATCTGGGTTGGCGCGGGCCGGTGGCTTGGTGCTCGGTGGCGACGTTCCTTGGTGATGGCGTGGTGGCGGCGGTCTCGGGCGGTGAGGACTTCGTTGGCCGGCGTGCTGCAGCGTGGTGACAGGACTGTCCGGGTCCATGTGGGCCTGGCCGGGCCATCGAGGCCTGGCAAGTCCTCGTCGCCGCGTCCAGTCGGCTCCGCTGTGGCGGTGGAGGCTGTCCCCTCCTTCCGGTCGAGTTGTGGTCACTCCCGTGGCTGGTGTCTCCTCTTCCTCTCCAAGCCTCGTGTTGACAGCTCCAGTGAAGCGGGGAGGGTTGTTCGGTAATCGTGGTGGCACAAGCTGGTGGGTGGCCGAGGAGGTGGTGCATTTTGAAATGCCGAAGGTGGTGGTGGTGGTGGTTGTGGATCGGGAGAAATCCCTGTCGGCCTGGCCGACACCGATGCAATGACGCCTGCGGGCGCCGTCGGACCTTCCTGAGGGGCATCAGGTACACCCCTTCCCCACTATCCCTCGCGTACCGGGGGAAACCCTAGAACTTGTTCGGGCAACAGTAGTGGCATCGTCACACTCCCTCTTGAGGGTGTTGCTTGGGGCGCGGCGCTTCGGGATGCTGGGAGCGTGGTGGTATTTCTTTGGAGGGTGCAGCGGTTGCCGGACTTCCCTTCTGCGTTGATCTGCCGTTGTCAGCATTTATTTCTCTTTCTTCTTCTTGTTTTTTTTTGGGCTTATCTGTGCTGCGGCCCCAGCAAGTTGGATGTATCGGATGTTTGCTTTATAATATAAAGTGGGGGAAAACCCTTTTTCGTCAATTGGTAGCACGAGAGGAAGGAATGGTAAGACTCGAGCTTGACGCTGAGGTCTTTGAGCTTGCGCCTTCTTTTTTATTAGTTGAAATAAAAATAGCAAATGGAGATAAAGAGTTTGAACTACAGATGAAAGTGAAAGATGCGATAAGGCTTGTGTTCAAGGATATGGTTTGGGCTTGGCAAGATGATTCTCACACGCAACAACCACAATTTACATTGTTTGGGTAGAAGTGAGGCACTTAGACAGCAACCATGACTGCACTTACTTTCAACAAAATTGTACGTAGTATTGATTTGTGGAAATTTCAGTCATTTTAGTAGACACCCCGCTGAACCAGTTAGTTGCGCGAATGTATGGGCCGGCCCAATAGTGTGTTAATCATTTTATTCATTCGTCGGTTGTTCGCTGATGTATTGGTTCATTTTTTTTCTTTTCCTTTTTTCGTTTCTTATTTCTTACCTGATTTTTTTGGTTTTCTATTTTTTGTCTTTATACTTTGCCTTTTTTGTTTTTTCTTTCACTTTTCTTTTGTTTTTCTCTTTTATTTATTTCATGGGTTTCATCAGTTTTTCTTTTCTTTCTCATTTTCTTCTTTTTTGCTTAGATTTTTTCTTTCTTTATTGGTATTCAACGTTTTTTTCTTTGTTTCCTTATCAGTTTTCGCCCTTTTCCATTTTTTGCACTTGTTTCTTCAATTTTCTTTTCTTTTTTTCGTTGGTTTCTTTTGTTCCTTTTTTGTTTTCATTTTTTCTTTGTTTATTTTGGTTTTAATGGTTTTTTGTTCTAATACACGTTTAACATTGTTTAGATACAAGTTTCACTTTTTTTAGTACATGTTTAATATTTTTTTCTATACATATTTGCAACATTTTTAAATGCTTGATTAATATTTGTTTTAAATGCTTGATTACCATTTTTTTAAACATGGTCAACATTTTTTTATACATATTTTAACATTTTCAAATGCTTCATTAACATTTTTAAAATACAACAATAACTTTTTTTACACATGGTCAACATTTTTTTGTAAACATTTTACAATTTTAAATGCTTGATTAATATTTTAAATACTTGTTTAACAATTTTTAAATGCTTGATTAATATTATCTAAATACATGATCAACTTTTTCACACACATAATATATTTTTTATATACATGAGAAACAGTTTCTTTATATACATTTTATATTTTTTTAAATGCTTGGTTAACATTTTTTCAAATAATTTTATGTCAAGAGTTTTTTGCAATTTTTTATTTAGAATATTTGAAAGTACAAACAAAAGTAAAATAAAAGAAAGGAAAAGAACGAAAACAAAAAACGTGAAAAAACCAAGGTCGTGGCCTCCCGCGTGCCTGGGCATCCCGGCCTGGTAATACCCATAGTTCGTGCGTGTGAGGGCCAGCTGGGGTTTGCTGGTGCCATAAGTGTCGTATAAGATCATAATGCCGTGTTTTTGGGGTCTTCGGCAATGGTATTCCCCGGGTATCGTTGATCCAACAACATTAGAAGCCCTTGCATGTCGAAAAGCCCTTTCGCGTGCGCTGGATCTTCCGCTGGACAAGATCATCAGATGTGACTGCAAGATGGTGATTTTAGAAATCCGAACAGGTACTGAAGAAAGATACTCTAGCATCATAAAGAGAATTGCAGCCAGGGCAGGAGAGTTTTCTAGCTGTGATTTCATTTTCTAGGGTCGTTCTGAATTGGGAAGCTCATAACTAAGCAAAAATTTCTAGTTCGTTAGACTTTGGTCGCCACTTGTGGCTGGGTTCCCATGACCCCCTATCATTCCTGACTTTTTGTAAACCTTTTTTTACCGCACACATTGTATTAATCAATAAAACAGAATACAATTGCACACACACATGCGGAGACTACCAAAAAGACCGAAACATGACAGATGTCTAGAAAACATTGCAGAAATAACCCCCACAAAAAATATGATAAATAACTCCTCCAGGGTCCGTGCAAACAACCAAATCTGAAGACGCCATCGACCGTCAGCGCCACCGAGACGAACACTAAGGAAAGAAGCGAAGCACCAGCAAATCAAAATCCAGATCAGCGTTGAACAACACTTTAAAGTTTAAACCTTGAGACTCCTTAATAAAGTTTTGATTTACCGCTAAAAAAAAGTATGGGAGCTCCCTTTGTGGAGGGACAAATTCTGGAAGTCCATCGACATGCGTCCATCCGAACCGCTCGATACATAATCCAAATCCAAAGAACACAAACCTGGAATATATCCTCTACCCAACTCCTCCCACTGGCTCCTCGTCGGAGCTCACCTCACCACCATGCTCTCCTCCTCCCTCATGCTGACCTGCGGCCACGCTCCCCTCCCCGCATTCCGCAAACCACGGCGCCGAATCCCCGCCGTCCCCCAAACCAACGCCTCTCTCTCCACCTTCCTGCCCGGGCGGGGAGGAGGAGCAGCAGCGCCGCGCCGGGGCTGGGCCCAAATCTGCCGGGATTCCTCCCGGCCGGGCGCCGATGCCGCGGAGCAGGACAGAGAGATCAAGAACGACCTAGCAACGGCGACCGTCCCCAAGATTGGCGGTGGTGGCGGCGGCGGCGGCGGCGGCGGGCAGCTCAGCGACTGGATAACATCGGTGCTGCTGTTCGGGATATGGGCGGGGCTCATGTACTATGTCCTCCAGCTCGCGCCAAACCAGACGCCAGTATGTACGGTCCTGCATATTCTCACCCCTTTCTTACTCCGTAGGAATTTATCGACCATTGAACTGTCAATTGCTATGCATTTCGGTGAATTTAGGTCGTTGTTTCAGTACCAGTGGCAATGCTAGCAGACAGTCTCACATCCTTACCTGTTAGAATCCTGATTAATATCCCGCAAAAATGGAATCCTGATTAATCCAAAAGTGTCATACAAAGAGATAATAGAAGCTAGGGCATCATTATGCTGTTTATCCATGCTGTCTTTTCCCTGGTGATGTTGTTCCATAGAATAGGCAGCCATCTGGGTTGGATTGGCTGTTACCTGGGGAGACGCTTGTATTTTTTTCTTGGCATAATCCAATCATGGCAACGGTCAGCACTGATAACAGAGATGATTGGGGCATTGGTGTTGATAAAAGATTTCACGGTTCTCACTTCCTAAAAGGGGGAAAACTGTTTCATGGGTGAGATGAGCCACACATTTTACCACACCACCGGTAGAGTTTTTGATCCGTGAAGACGTCCTTGTAGTGAACAACGGTACCTTGATTCGCTAGGCTATTATCACGAGTTTGTGACTCTAGACGCTAAAACCATTATTGATGC